ACATGACATGGGTGTGCCATTTGTGTGACATGGGTGTGACATGGGTGTGACATGGGTGCGACTCAACATGAGAATGAGATATTGGATGATCAAAGAGAAAGTGCCCGTGGAGACAACAAATGCATAGGCACTTAACACATAAGATCAAATGCAAGATTCGTGCAGAACTCAGACTTTTCCTCAGCTCCAGTCACTTAAGGTCGACTTCCACGTAGGGTGGGGAGCGAAGCTGTATGAATTACAGTTGCTGGAAAGGAGAACCACTCAAACAATTAACTTCTAGTTATAAAAAGGCGTCTGCTGGACAAAATTCCACAGGCCGTATCACCCTTTTCCATAGAGGCTAAGATCCCATGGACGCTCCTGTTACAACGAAGGCAAACAGTTGTGCAGCTGCTTAACACATCTCTCAAACAGAAAGCTCTAATGCCTCCTCTCTGCAGCACACATCGACTGCTTACATGCTCACCTTCTATCCCTCCTCCACCTCCTCCTCCTCCTCCTCCTCCTCCTCCTCCTCCTCCTTCCCCAGATCTCCTCCTTCCCTCTTCTCTGCCAAACTGAATCCTTAAAACTTGTCCTATGGCTCACACATGTCGACCAGACAAGAGCCAAACAGAATGTCACATGCGTCCCCCCATGTCCTTTTGGTTCTTCCCTTGTTGCACATGGGCGATGCCAGCAAAGCGTCAGTGGAGAAAGGAATCAGCCAGCGATCTTGCAGGGTGTTTTTTTTTCTGTTTTTTTTTGGAGAATCTTGCAGTTTTGACATATATCTGTTGGAAGGACTACATAAAATCAAATAAATGACAAAAAAAGAAGACTTAGAAAATGCAGAAACTGGAGAAGAACATGCCCAGAAGCTGATTATTATCAGTGTGATGTGAGCACAAACTGACTTACACACAACACATAATTGCGTCTAACGCGGCGCACATATGTGACAAAATCTCGAATAATATTCAGAATAGCATCGTTGAAGTCCAAACTGCCATAGCGAGCCATGGTGTCAACCTCCCTCAAGCCGCCAGAACAGAGTGCAACACCAAGAGTGAAGCGCCTGGCCATCCCCTACTACTTCTTCCCCCGAATACAACGTACAGTCATTATAGATGTATTTGAGGGATCTTTCAGTCTAGATACAGCTATAACGACCGTACATTGTATTCGGGGGAAGAAGGTAGTTTCAGTCACCGCAAGTGACTTCATCAGGGGGATATTCGAGATGGTAAGTAGCTACACTTCTTGTTTACTTATACTACGCCAGTCGTAACCGAGCACCCGGTACTTAACCTTACTTTCTTACAGTAAGTCGCCTAATTGCCACCGCCCAGGCCAGATCCCAGATTTACGCGACCCGCAACAGTTTTTCACTGACCTCTGAATTCTTTCCTGCACGACTTATGTCCCGCCCCCCAGCGCGTATGTGCACAAACTTTTTTACCTTGCCCTAAGTGCGTATTCCCTTGAGCTGAGCGCTAATTCCCCACTCACTTGTGCAAGTTTCTGGGATCGAATCCCGTGGTTACGGTAATACTTGCGGGCACTCCATCCTAATTTTTTATCCATCTTATTTTTGCCAGATCGATCCTCCAACACCCGGGACTGATTTTTCACCGGCCCCGTTCTAAGGAGATCCCAACCGACCCTCCATATCCTTCCCTCTCTTTTGATGCTTAAATCCTTCAGGCCCGTTCGTGCGCCAAGCCAGATTAAAGACACAGAACAAATTCCCGTCCTACAAGCCACGTTAAATACCACAAGTTCACGGCCCCAGCCTTGCGGTCTGAAACTTGTTGCCACAAGAAAACAAGACCGAAACGTCGAACACTGGGCCCGCCGTTGATAAATTCGATCGGCGGTCGCGTTTGCGTTTCGTGCCTTCAGAATTTGAGGTGTCAGGCCCGCAGCCCAGGTGCCCGTGAACTGGTGGTTTAAGCGAAACAAAAAGCTGTGACAAGATTGTAACATAGTCCTGGGTTGTCTTCTTCGTAACGAATTTCCATTGTGTGTAACCTTTCTCGTTTCTCATCGTCAGAATTGCTGATGCGGAATGCCATCATAGCATCGCTTGTGTGATCATGTATGGACAGTTCGCCATTCTGTCCAAACGCCGTCACTGCTTAACTCAAGTTTAACTCGAGTTCGCCGATTCCGAACCCAGATGCATATCCTGACCAGATGCGCAAAGGTAGTGAGAGCGTGGACAACTCTCCTTTGGGGTCCAGAGTGGCTGGCTGCATCATCTCCCTCCCATGATGCATTCAGCTATATACCCCACAAATTCCCACAACTTTACACTCAACCACATACGTCAAGAAAATATAACTGACGGCATAGACATCAACATCTCATCAAAACCCCAGAGACACAAATGCGACGGCGATAATGCACTTACCCTTGTTTCTTCCCATAAATGGACACAACATCGTGAGTCTTTCCTGCCGTTTCTGCTCCCGCAGCGAGCTCCAGTACAAGCGCATTCTTTTGTCCGTCGATGCCACTGACCGCGGCGACAAACTAGTCTCCCTGGATTGGAGGTGTTCCCTCTCTTGGTCTTCATAGCATGGCGGCCTCGATTCATTAGAAGACGCGCTGGGATGGGAAGCACTGCAAGGAAGAGAAGCAAACATGCCACAGCAGGATTCCACTCCCCTCTATGTGGATTGCACCTATTCCACTCCTGCACACTTCCACTCGCCATGCACTCGGAAACCAGAATCGTCCATCTGTCATATAGGCTCATAAACCATACAGTCCAGTTCTCCTCGTAGCAAAACCATGAAAAGGGATAACGAAAAAGAAGGGAGAAGGGGGGCAAGCAGGGGGTAGCAGTGGTGAGCACGGGGAGCAGGGGGGAGCAGGGGGAGCAGGGGGNCAAGGGCACTTCAACCCCAGAGAACGTGACAGCGCCCGTGGGAAACGGGTGACCATTTCGACATTGAGGTAAGTGTTTTCGTTTTCTTTTTTTTTCCCCAGCTTAAAAACAGAAATCCCGCCAGAATTGCCCGGCCGTGCCCAGCACGGGTGGCACCTGAGCAGACCCCTGCAATCCCACCCCTGTCTCTTATACACATCTAGATGTGTATAAGAGACAGAAGCAGGGGGGAGCAGGGGGGAGCAGGGTGGAGCAGGGGGGAGCCGGGGAGAGCCTGGGGGGGCAGGGAGGAGCCGGGGGGGGCAGGGGGGAGCAGGGGGGAGCAGGGGGGCAGGGAGGTCACAATCTTTTCAGCCTGCTCACGATGATTTAGGGCTTCAGCTCGGTGTTACAAAATGGTTGCATACTTGCATCCCTTTGAATTGATTCGAATGAATGCCAGTGCCATGCAGAACACCACCAAAAATAATAAATCAATTATTACGCCCATCTCCACCCGTCCCCTTGCATCCAACTTGTGATGGATGCACAGTAAATTTCCTTGGATACGTACTATCAGGCTTCCTTCTACCAGTCATACAGGCACTACTAAGCAGTAGTACTTTTTTTCTTCTTTTCTTTTCAAAATGCTCCAATCTCTTCGCGGGGAGCAGCACGTGCTGGGAACCACGACCAGCGTCCCATCTGGAAACATATTTGAGATCATATTTCATATCAAACTGGGTTACCGGGCTTCGGCTAAAAAACAAACACACTCATGCACCAACTCCGAAGTTTCTTCAGGAGTATGACCGAACTATGAATACAAAGAGCATTTTGAGATCAGCTTCGGCTAAGAAAATCCAGAAAGCACAAGAAAATTCCTGAACAACTTCTTACCTCACTCTACCGAACACCAACCTTCCGAGTGATGCCAGCCTGAGGAGGCCTCTACCTGGTCTCACGCCCCCAACTGCTAAGATACAGGGCAGCGCGACCCACCCCAACTCCAACCATTGTTGCCCTGGCAGCAGCCCCGAGTTAGCCACTGGAATGCCTTCTACCCTCGACAAATCCCCCGACCTCTCTCTACCGAACACCAGCCTTCCGAGTGACGCCAGTAGGTTGAACCAAAACCGACCATAGCCGTCCTGTTCTCGCTACCAGCCTGAGGAGGCCCCTACCCGGTCTCACGCCCCCAACTGCTAAGATACAGGGCAGCGCGACCAACCCCAGCTCCAACCATTGTTGCCCTGTCAGCAGCCCCCGGTTTGGCACTGGAATGCCTTCTACCCTCGACAAATCCCCCAACCTCTCTCTACCGAACACCAGCCTTCCGAGTGATGCCAGTAGGTCGAACCAAAACCGACCATAGCCGTCCTGTTCTCGCTACCAGCCTGAGGAGGCCCCTACCCGGTCTCACGCCCCCAACTGCTAAGATACAGGGCAACGCGACCAACCCCAGCTCCAACCATTGTTGCCCTGTCAGCAGCCCCCGGTTCGCCTCTGGAATGCCTTCTACCCTCGACAAATCCCCCAACCTCTCTCTACCGAACACCAGCCTTCCGAGTGACGCCAGTAGGTCGAACCAAAACCGACCATAGCCGTTCTGTCCTCGCTACCAGCCTGAGGAGGCCTCTACCCGGTCTCACGCCCCAACTGCTAAGATACAGGGCAGCGCAACCCACCCCAGCTCCCACCATTGTCGCCCTGGCAGCAGCCCCCGGTTCGCCACTGGAATGCCTTCTACCCTCGACAAATCCCCCGACCTTTCTCTACCGAACACCAACCTTCCGAGTGACGCCAGTAGGTCAAACCAAAACTGACCATAGCTGTCCTGTTCTTCCTACCAGCCTGCGGCCTCTACTCGGTCTCACGCCCCCAACTGCTAAGATACACAGCAGCGAGACCCACCCCAGCTCCCACCATGGTCGCCCTGGCAGTAGCCTCCGGTTTGCCACTGGAATGCCTTCTACCCTCGACAAATCCCCTCAGCTCTCTACCAGGCCTGACGCCCCACCACTGGCCATCATTGTTCTGGCATCGGCCAACCTAGGCCCAACCAACCACCAACATCGCAGCTTCTTGCCGCCTCAGATGAGCCATCACCGCCACCGAAATCCTGGTTCCAGTTTGTGTAGAAGCGAGAAGTGGTCTTTCATTACTCATGTTCAACTGCTAGCTAAAAATACCTAAAAATAGCTAAAAATAGCTTAAAAATAGCTAAAAATAGCTAAAAGTCTAAGTAGGACTAAGTTAGTACTACTCTTAACCCTTTTCCTAATCTTTGGTTCCAACTCCTCAACTCTCATTTTGTATCTTCACCATCCCCTCAAACTTCTGCCTGCACCGTAGAGTTTCTCCAACTTTTTTGGCCTAATCCCCCCAGGCTAGCATCAACCATACAGGTACCACTTTCTCCAATCTTCGCCTCAAATCCTCAACCTGCAGCTTCGATTTCTGAGTGGAAAAAAAAAACATCAACAGCTCTCCTCACAGCTTGGATTTCTTGTTTTCAGAAATCTTCAAATCTCTCTCTCTCTCTCTCTCTCTCTCTCTCTCTCTCTCTCTCTCTCTCTCTCTCTCTCTCTCTCTCTGGGCGTCTGTCAGTGTTTGTTGCCTTCTCTCAGTCATAAAGAAACCAGGTTTTTTTTCTTGTGACCAACTGTCAACGGGCTGATCTCCAGAAAAAAACTGTCAGCTTACGAATGTAGCCTAGGGGCTCAGGATTCAAAGGATTGCGTTAGAGTGTTCGTTCCTCTCTGTACCTTTGCTACCATCGCTTCCTTCACATTTCTTGGATCCTTTTCCAGCTGTCTGACGTATGCTCTCTCTGAGCTTTCTCTCCTTTTCTCTAATGAACTCATCAAGCACTCTATAATGCCTTTCACCTCCAAGTCCACCTGCTTGCTCCCTGTACATTTGCTTTCCTTTTTTGTTCGTTCCACCTTCTGGCTCCCTGTACATTTGCTTTCTTTTTTGTTCGTTCCACCTGCTGGCTCTCTGTACTTTTGCTACCATCGCTTCCTTGGCATTTCTTTACATCGTTTCCCAGCTGGTTGTCCCTCTCTTGGTGCGTTCTCTCCTTGTGTTTAACGACCTCATCCAAGCACTCTAATGCCTTTCAGCCCCAAGTGCACCTGCTGACTCCCTGCACCTTTGCTACCCCACCTCACTTCCTTCACTACTTCTTTACATCGATCAAGCACTCTATAATGCCTTTCAGCCCCAAGTGCACCTGCTGGCTCCCTGTACCTTTGCTACCATCTTCCTTCCTTCACTACTTCTTACACCGTTTCCCACAGGTGCTGTCAGACCCTCTCTTCCAGCTTTCTCTCCCCTTTTGTCCGATGAACTCGTCGTCCACAACTCTTATGCCTTTCAGCCCCAAGTCCAACTGCTGTCTCCTCTTCAGCCCCAAGTCCATCTGCTGGCTCCTCTTCAGCCCCAAGTCCAACCGCTGGCTCCTCTTCAGCTCCGCAACCGCTGGCTCCTCTTCAGCTCCGCAACTGCAGGCCTTGTGTTCTGAATCCTCAAGTCTCTCTCACTCTCAAACTACCAATACGTCAGACCCTTCCCTCACCATCTGCAGGCCTCTGACATCATTTGTTGAGCTTAGCTGGCGGCAGGCAGCCCGTACGTTCACGGACAAGTGGTCCGCTAACCGGCGCACCTTGCTCGGGTAGTCGTGGTTTAACCACCAAGTTGGTTTGTCCAATGCTTCGTCTGATGCCAGCGCTATTGCTCTGACAAGGCGCGGCCTTTTTGCAGACTCTGCGCAAAGAGACGTTCTCGGCACATCCTCCTCACGTTCGTCTTTTCCCCTTACCACCTCCAACACATAGATCGTTCCTTTACCTCCTAAAGCAATGATGTGGTTGGAGTGCTTGCAAGCACCCATCCATTCGAGACCTCTACCAAACCAGGCGTCAGGGTCGCCCATGTTGCACCAGTAGGATGACAGGTACTTAAAGTTTGACTCGCTCCAGACTTGAATTTCCCCATCGCGTCCTGCGCTGAAGATGTATGGCAAGTGTGGATGGAAGAAGGCTTGAAAACCATCCGTTAGCATCTTGACTAAGCATTCTCCCGTCTTGTAGTCCCAGACGAAGACACTGCCTCTGCGAGGAGAACACGGGTCATGACAGGACAGGAGAAGCGACTTCCCAGCTCTGCTGCAAAAGTCCATTTTGAAAATTGCACGGTATAGATAGACGCTAATGGTTCGCAGACAAGCACGTTCACGGATACCCCAAATTTTGATGTTCCCATCCCATGACCCACTTGCAAAGATGTTGTGGTCCCTAGGATGGAACATCAGTGACCGTATCTCCTCGCTGTGACCCTTAAATGGAATCTGCTCCCATTCGTTTTCCCCATCCCACAAGATGACGAGTTTGTTGCAAGAAGTCAAGACATAAGACAAGCGGGGATGGACTGCAATCGCCCACACATCGAAGAGACGAGGATGCTGTACTACAGTCAGACACTGCAGGCTCGAACCTTGGATCTTATAAACAATGTCTTTGCGAGGACTGGAACATTGCACTACAATCCAGCCTTTCTGCGCAATGAACCTCGCATCAGCAACGCTAAATACACTCGGGATAACCGCAAAGGCGACAAGTGTTGCATTCGCGTAGTTCCACACCTCAATCGACCATTGTCTTGGCCTTGGTGTTGGATTTTCGGTCTCCTCTTCGACCGTCCTTGTTCTTGTTCGTTCGATTGTGCACAGAACCCATGGCTGATACGGATGCAAAGAAACAGACACTCCAGTCACTTTAACATCACCATCTGGACTATTGAACAACGTCCATTCACATCTCGGCAGCAGCTTGATGTCACCCCTTGGTCTGTTACGCCTCCTCATGTTTTCCACTGCTACCCGGTTGGGGGGCAATGTATCCACCTGCACACGTGGGAGCTGCCATCCCACATATAAGCCCACAGCCAGAGCAAGCAATGATGACAACCACAACAATTTGTCAATGGCCGGGCATCCTAGACGAACAGGTGCCACTGGTTGTAAATGGTTGAAGAGATTTGCAAGCCAATACCGTGAAAATGAGCAGATGTCTGAGGCTGAGAGTTCTGGCTTGCGTGTCCTCCGGGTGTGGGTGGGTTCACTGCCCAGGCAGGGTGGGCTGAACTCGATGTGTCCAGTCTCCTGCCAGACATCCTCCCTTGGCACTGTCTGTCACACCCCTCACAGCCTTCAAAAAAAAAGGAAAATGTGCAGATGTCAGTATAAGGTATACCCTAGGGTCGGGTAAGGTGTACCCTAGGGCAGGGTAAAGTATACCTTACCGTAGGGGAGGGTAGGGTAGGGTAGGGTATACCATAGGTTAGGGTAGGGTAGGGTATTCCCAAGGGATAGGGTTTTAACCTAGGGTAAGGTATACCATAGGGTAGGGTAGGGTATACCTTAGGGTAGGGTAAGGTCTACCCTAGGGTAGGATAGGGTATACCCTAGGGTTAAAACCAAGGGTAAGGGTAGGGTAAGGTATACCCTAGGGTAGGGTAGGGTATACCTTAGGGTAGGGTAAGGTATACCCTAGGGTAGGGTAGGGTATACCTTAGGGTTGGGGAGGGTATAACTTAGGGTTGGGGAAGGTAGGGTATACCATAGGGTAGGGTAGGGTAGGGTAGGGTAGGGTAGGTTATACCCCAGGGATAGGGTTTAAACCACCAGTAAGTTTCCCAGCCATTTTTTCAGAGTTGCGGTGTGCATGCTGCTGCGACTCTTGGGAAGTGCAGGGGTGCTGTTTCACTGGGCATCCGTCCAGGCAAAACGGACCTTGCATGTGACCCGTTTTGCCTGGATGAATGTGCCATGAAACGGCGACCCATTACTTCCCAAGAGTTGCAGTGTGCGGCTCTGAAAAAAGGCTGGGACACATATTGGTGGTTTAAACCACCACTACCCCTGACGTTGAAAACTCGGGGGGACCGGTAGTCGCTTTGAGGAGTCGGCATTGGACCTACCGGTAGCAGGGACTGCCACAACCTTTGAGGGGTCTGAGACCTGCCAGCATAAACCCTATGGTGAGTAGTGGAGTGAGGCCCCGAGAATGGATCTTCCCTAGAAAACGGGTACATGCACAGCCTTTTGTTTTTGTCATTTTTGCTCCTTTTAGACAACGGGAGGCGCATTTCTGCACAGGGGAGTCGCTCTGCACAGGGCTGTGGCTCCACTGCTCACCAAGTGCCACCAAATGTGCAAAATGAGAAAGAATCTTCCCTGCACCAAATGTGCTCATCGACTGCATAAACAGATCAGGAGTTGGAGCTTTGAAGCATCATGCAAAAGTCTTAGAGAGGAAGAGGAAAGACTGTCCGGCAAAGAAGACAAAATCAGCATGTGAACGGAGAAAGAAAGCACAGCCAGCAAATCACTCCGTTATGCACCAAATGAAACAAGCGTGGTCACCCTCAATGCGTTTCGTCCACCCCGCACACAGACTCGTCAGGAGGTAAGCAATCCATACCTCCCTAACACATCTCCATGGAGGCCATTCGGTGGGCCTTGCCTCCTTTCTAGCCACCCCCCTCCTACCCGAACACTAATCCGTGTCACACTAGCACATAGCAGCAGACGAAAACCAATCAAAGCTAGAAGAAGATCAAAACACATCAGCGCCGATGGAACGACGAAGGTTCTAGAAGAACCCAAAACCTACTGGCAGAAACAGGAAGAAGACCCCATCTCGTCACTGATGACGGAAAGCAGCGAAGTACCTGCGCAAGACAAAATGATACACAAAGAGCAAGACCACACACAGAGAGAGAACAATCCCTGCACAGGTGCCCCAAGATGGTGGTGTCTTCTTCGCAGGAGTGCACACAAGCAGTCGAAGAAGCGCTGGGGAAGGTGCAGAGTGACCGGAGCCAGAAGCAAAACAGCTCAGCAATCGTACACCGATCACGTGAAACACCGCCGTCAACTTCGTGCCGGAACAACCACATGCAAGTTCGTCCTCGGCGTGCAAGAATGAGAGGCAGAATGCCTCACCCGCTTCATATATAGCGATGCCCATGACCCTTAGAGAGTCCCCCGCAAACCGCCGAGGTCTGGCGGCAATACAAAGTAACAGATGTGGCCACAGTCTCCGAAGCCGGGTACCTGCCCTGAAATCACGCCAGCTACAGGAAAAAAAACTAGAAAGGCTGCCATTCCGCTGAAATGCCGAACGGCGTGGAAAACAGATCTAGCCCTTACTTTGTCGCAGGCACCCCGATAAACGAAGTCTGGCCTCGGATCGAGCAGGCCCACAGCCCCACACTAGCAGCCAGCCCAAAATCAAGCCACCAAAGCAAAAAAAGCCAACCCATCCAAATTGAGTACAAGGCCCATAAGGGCCTGCTTGGCAACTAGCCAAGCCCCTAATGTACGCATGCAGCGACCACCTCGGCAATCTGGCCTCCCATCTTGTGCTGTCGGCTGGTGGAGACACCGAGTCGAAAGGGATAGTGATAGCCCCTCATGGGCAACCCCCTTTTCACTGCAAGCAGAGCTTCATGCGGTCCCCAGGAATAGGATGTAAGTCTAAATACCCTGTGAAGGGTGAACAGAAAAGTTGGGGGTTCCATTCCTATCGACATCCTACCTCCTCCCTCCCTCCTCCGATCTTATCCCGCTTATAAGAATACGAGCAATAATCTTGAAAACACCCAAACTCAAGGTAATCATGTCCCCAAATACATCATGCAAACACCCATCCATACAACAGCCCGCCCTCCCCCANCCCCCCCCCCTCCCCCCCCACCAAAAAGAAACACTAACCAGCCGCAGCCCACCGACCAATGGGAAGAGATCTCTTTTCCAGACCTGAAAAAAAGATGATGACAAGCAGTGAATAATACATCGGATAAAATTATTAAAATGCCAAAAGGGAAATCTTTCTCGGTCATGAGCTTCCATTGAAAAAGCTCGTACACCATTCTCCTATGAGAGAGAGAGAAAGAGACAGAGAGAGAGAAAGAGACAGAGAGAGAGAGAGACCGAGAGACAGAGAGAGAGAGGGAGAGAGTTCGGCTGAATCTGCTCGAAATTCCGGTCAGATACAAAAGAGGAAATTTATGTTCTGAGTCCGCACTTGGACGCTTAACGTGAACTCCCCTCCCCCCTCCCCCTCCCTTTTTTTTTTTTTTTGAAAATAAACACATCGATTACTCATTGATAAAAGGGGGGTCGGCCACCCTACATAAAGGCCGGCTTGACGTAAACTTGCACTGCTCGCTCTACCACTTTTTCGATTTTACCTGATAGAGACATTTATGCGAAAAACTGACGAATGTACCGAGCCACATTCTTTGACAAAATGCACTTAGCTGCTTTTTACATTTGGCGAGTAGTGAGAACGAGGCCCAGGGTCTTCCTCACCTAGGACATCCGTGCCTGTTCGAAAAAATGGAACAGTAGCGGCTTCGCTCTCACATTTCCTCGCAATTGCATCGTGCTTATCTTGTACTTCTCTCGTACTTTTTTTCGTATTTTTTTCGTAATTTGTTTTGCATTTTTTTCGTAATTTTTTTCGTATTTTTTTCGTAAATTTTTTCATATTTTCTTCGTAATTTTTTTCATATTTTCTTCGTATTTTTTTCGTAATGTTTTTCATATTTTTTTCGTAAATCTTTTCATTTTTTATCATAAGTTTTTTCTTTTTTTTTCGTAATTTTTTTCATGTTTTTTTGGTAATTTTTTTCATATTTTCTTGGTAATTTTTTTATATTTTTTTGGTAATTTTTTTCGTACTTTTTCCTAGGTTACCAGAGTGGCCCGGGCCCACTTCCCGGACGAGGGCAAAAAAAAATAAAAAAGAAATAAAAAATATATATTTTTTTTTATTATTTCAAATATGGTCAAAAAAATCGAGGTGACCCTGAGGCAAAAGTGATCCCGGCAGACCGGCTGGTAGCCTAGATTTTTTTCGTATTTTTGGTAAAATTTTGGTAATTTTTTACTGATGTTTTTCCATTTTTTTTGGTAACTTCCACGTGAAATTCTAGTAACTTTTTCGTATTTTGCCTAGGCTACCAGAGTGGCCCGGGCCAAAAAAAAAAACAAAAAAGAGTAAAGAATTTGAATGTGACCCTGAGGTAAAAGTTGTTCACTTTATTTTTCTGCATAACATAGTTTTCTGGCAGATTTTTTTGATTTTTTTTTTTTTTTTTTTCGCTGAGACCTTCTTCGGGCCTTGCAGGAAAACAAGGTCACCCAGGCGGCCCACCGGCTGGTAGCCTAGTATTTTTCTTAAATTTCTTCGTCCTTTTTTCTTTCATTTTCTTTTTCATATTTTGCTTGCATTTTTTTTGTACTTTTTTCGTTTTCTCGTAGCCTTTCAGGAATAGAGGGGGCGGACTGATTCCAGACTGGTTCGCCTATCTTTGGAATTTGGACCCGTGAATTTGGGGACCCATAGGACCTCTGGAATTCGGACCCGAGAATTTGGACCCTATCTTTGGAATTTGGACCCGTGAATTTGGGGACCCATAGGACCTCTGGAATTTGGACCCGAGAAGTTGGACCTTATCTATCTTTGGAATTTGGACCCGATGTCGGGACAGAAACCCCTGCGAGGGTTTCTGCCCGAGTTTTTCAAGGTCAGACACTGCCCGACCCTTTTTTTTTATTGGGAGACTTGACGAGGTTGACGTTGCCAAAGTTATTCAGACCAACCCTATAACTGAGAGACCTAAAGCCTGACGTCATTGACGTGCGACATCATCAACCTTAGTTCGAGACAGCAAGAGTCGGCGCTGGCGTCCACATCCCTCGACGAGGTCGCAGTGGTGCACGGTCAGGGAAAGGTTTGAGCTAGACCTAGTCTACCTAAAATAATGTTAGCAGCCGCGCGATTCAGGGCCTGAGTAGGCTAAAAACAGGGGTGCGCCGGGTATAGAGCCGCGGCGCAAGAGAAATAG